AGTGTGAGACACAGCATAGTGTGAGACACAGCAGTAGTGTGAGACACAGCAGTAGTGTGAGACACAGCAGTAGTGTGCGACACAGCAGTAGTGTGGACACAGCAGTAGTGTACACAGCAGTAGTGTGAGACACAGCAGTAGTGTGAGACACAGCAGTAGTGTGGACACAGCAGTAGTGTGAGACACAGCAGTAGTGTGAGCACAGCAGTATGTGAGACACAGCATAGTGTGACACAGAGTAGTGTGCGACACAGCAGTAGTGTGAGACACAGCAGTAGTGTGCGACACAGCATAGTGTGCGACACAGCAGTAGTGTGGCACACAGCAGTAGTGTGAGACACAGCAGTATAAAGAGTGTGAGACACAGCAGTAGTGTGCGACACAGCAGTAGTGTGAGACACAGCAGTAGTGTGAGACACAGCAGTAGTGTGAGACACAGCAGTAGTGTGCGACACAGCAGTAGTGTGAGACACAGCAGTAGTGTGCGACACAGCATAGTAAGTGTGCGACACAGCATAGTGTGAGACACAGCAGTAGTGGAGACACAGCAGTAGTGTGGACACGAGAGTCAGATAGTGTGAGACACAGCATTAGTGTGAGACACAGCAGTAGTGTGCGACACACAGCAGTAGTGTGAGACACAGCATGTCCGAGCTAGTGAGACACAGCAGTAGTGTGAGACACAGCAGTATCGCCCTGTAGACACAGCAGTAGTATGAGACACAGCAGTAGTGTGAGACACAACAGTAGTGTGAGACACAGCAGTAGTGCGAGACACAGCAGCAGTATGAGACATAGCAGTAGTTTGAGACACAGCAGTAGTGTGAGACACAGTAGTAGTGTGAGACACAGCAGTAGTGTGAGACACAGCAGTAGTGTGAGACACAGCAGTAGTGTGAAACACAGCAGTGTGCGACACAGCAGTAGTGTGAGACACAGCAGTAGTGTGCGACACAGCAGTAGTGTGAGACACAGCAGTAGTGTGCGCACAGCAGTAGTGTGAGACACAGCAGTAGTGTGAGACACAGCAGTAGTGTGAGACAAGGCAGTAGTGTGCGACACAGCAGTAGTGTGAGACACAGCAGTAGTGCGCGACACAGCAGTAGTGGGCGACACAGCAGTAGAGTGAGACACAGCAGTATTGTGAGGCACGGCAGTAGTGTGAGACACAGCAGTAGTGTGCGACACAGCAGTAGTGTGAGACACAGCAGTAGTGTGAGACACAGCAGTAGTGTGAGACACAGCAGTAGTGTGAGACACAGCAGTAGTGTGAGACACAGCAGTAGTGTGAGACACAGCAGTAGTGTGAAACACAGCAGTAGTGTGAGACACAGCACTACTGTGAGACAGCAGTAGTGTGAGACACAACAGTAGTGTGAGACACAGTAGTAGTGTGAGACACAGCAGTAGTGTGAGACACAGCAGTAGTGTGAGACAGAGCAGTAGTGTGAGACAGAGCAGTAGTGTGCGACACAGCAGTAGTGTGAGACACAGCAGTAGTGTGAGACACAGCAGTAGTGTGAGACACAGCAGTAGTGTGAGACACAGCAGTAGTGTGCGACACAGCAGTAGTGTGCGACACAGCAGTAGTGTGAGACACCGCAGTAGTGTGAGACACAGCAGTAGTGTGAGACACAGCAGTAGTGTGCGACAGCAGTAGTGTGAGACACAGCAGTAGTGTGAGACACAGCAGTAGTGTGAGACACAGCAGTATTATGAGACTCAGCAGTAGTGTGAGACACAGCAGTAGTGTGAGACATAGCAGTAGTGTGAGACAAAGCAGTAGTGTGCGACACAACAGTAGTGTGAGACACAGCAGTAGTGTGAGACACTGGAGTAGTGTGCGACACAGGAGTAGTGTGAGACAAAGCAGTAGTGTGCGACACAGCAGTAGTGTGCGACACAGCAGTAGTGTGAGACACTGGAGTAGTGTGCGACACAGGAGTAGTGTGAGACAAAGCAGTAGTGTGCGACACAGCAGTAGTGTGCGACACAGCAGTAGTGTGAGACACAGCAATAGTGTGCGACACAGCAGTAGTGTGCGACACAGCAGTAGTGTGAGACACAGCAGTAGTGTGAGACACAGCAGTAGTGTGCGACACAGCAGTAGTGTGAGACACAGCAGTAGTGTGAGACAAAGCAGTAGTGTGCGACACAGCAGTAGTGTGAGACAAAGCAGTAGTGTGCGACAAAGCAGTAGTGTGCGACACAGCAGTAGTGTGAGACACAGCAGTAGTGAGACACAGCAGTAGTGTGCGACACAGCAGCAGTGTGCGACATAGCAGTAGTGTGAGACACAGCAGTAGTGTGCGACACAGCAGTAGTGTGAGACAGCAGTAGTGTGAGACACAGCAGTAGTGTGAGACACAGCAGTAGTGTGAGACACAGCAGTAGTGTGAGGCACAGCAGTAGTGTGAGACACAGCAGTAGTGTGAGACACAGCAGTAGTGTGCGACACAGCAGTAGTGTGCGACACAGCAGTAGTGTGAGACACAGCAGTAGTGTGCGACACAGCAGTAGTGTGAGACACAGCAGTAGTGTGCGACACAGCAGTAGTGTGCGACACAGCAGTAGTGTGAGACACAGCAGTAGTGTGAGACACAGCAGTAGTGTGAGACACAGCAGTAGTGTGCGACACAGCAGTAGTGTGAGACACAGCAGTAGTGTGCGACACAGCAGTAGTGTGAGACACAGCAGTATTGTGAGACACAGCAGTAGTTGTGCGACACAGCAGTAGTGTGCGACACAGCAGTAGTGTGCGACACAGCAGTAGTGTGCGACACAGCAGTAGTGTGCGACACAGCAGTAGTGTGCGACACAGCAGTAGTGTGAGACACAGCAGTAGTGTGAGACACAGCAGTAGTGTGAGACACAGCAGTAGTGTGCGACACAGCAGTAGTGTGAGACACAGTAGTGTGCGACACAGCAGTAGTGTGAGACACAGCAGTAGTGTGAGACACAGCAGTAGTGTGGCGACACAGCAGTAGTGTGCGACACAGCAGTATGTGGACACAGCAGTAGTGTGAGACACAGCAGTAGTGTGAGACACAGCAGTAGTGTGAGACACAGCAGTAGTGTGCGACACAGCAGTAATGTGCGACACAGCAGTAGTGTGCGACACAGCAGTAGTGTGCGACACAGCAGTAGTGTGCGACACAGCAGTAGTGTGCGACACAGCAGTAGTGTGCGACACAGCAGTAGTGTGGACACAGCAGTAGTGTGAGACACAGCAGTAGTGTGAGACACAGCAGTATGTGAGACACAGCAGTAGTGTGGACACAGCAGTAGTGTGGACACAGCAGTAGTGGAGACACAGCAGTAGTGTGGACACAGCAGTAGTGTGCGACACAGCAGTAGTGTGCGACACAGCAGTAGTGTGAGACACAGCAGTAGTGTGAGACACAGCAGTAGTGTGCGACACAGCAGTAGTGTGCGACACAGCAGTAGTGTGAGACACAGCAGTCAAGTAGTGTGAGACACAGCAGTAGTGTGAGACACAGCATAGTGGGCAGTGGGGGGGGGGATGTGTGAGACACAGCAGTAGTGTGAGACACAGCAGTAGTGTGAGACACAGCAGTAGTGTGAAGAGGTGACACAGCAGTAGTGTGCGACACAGCAGTAGTGTGCGACACAGCAGTAGTGTGAGACACAGCAGTAGTGTGCGACACAGCAGTAGTGTGAGACACAGCAGTAGTGTGCGACACAGCAGTAGTGTGCGACACAGCAGTAGTGTGCGACACAGCAGTAGTGTGCGACACAGCAGTAGTGTGCGAGGGCCTTCATTAACCACAACACTCTTTATCTGCTCAATTAATTAAAACTTCAAAAAAACCATTAAGACAGCCACTAAAAAGTGTATCAAAACTCAACCAACGTGTTATCACCTGCAGTCTGAAACCCATTAAACTGATGGAATTACTTCCTTTGAGAGTTCCCAATACTTATGTAACAGCTGTCTCACCGCTATATATATCCCTCACACAGAAATGAAATAAAAAAAGGAACATAAAAGTGAGATTAAAATCTGTGGGTCAGAATATAGGTAATTAGGGGCGCGCCAGAAAGGTATTGATGAGGCACCTGACTAACCAGGTCCAAAGACGATAGTTGTTAGGGATCTAAGACTAATGTTTCCGTTTTTCTGTCAGGAATATATGATTAAGACTATGAAAAAGACAAGTTAAATTTAACTCGGGATATGTTACTGGTAATGAACATGATATGACTTTTGTCCTTCATCAAGTTATTTTTTTAATTTTCACACTGGAGGAAATAACGTCCTGGACAAAGATAAGCACAGTGAAGCTGAGGAGAACAAGACTCTGGATGACAGTCACTACCATCATGATACTGACACTTATACACTGACCCACGCCGGTCTAGCGCTTCTTTTCTACTGTAACAATATAATTAGTGATGTACACACGAACTGTTTTCAGTATTTAAGGAGAACAAATGAAATAAGTGCACTGGACAGTAGTCCCTCCAATACACGAGTGTTAAAATGGGAAAGAGGACCTTAGCTTTAAATTACACCGAGATATAAATTTAAAACATATTAAGCTTCGAAGGAAAAATGTATTTCACTTCATTTTTTTTTTTTATGGTTGCAAAAAACTAACGCGACCACAATAACAATCGATGGACTAAAGGGAATTATTGTTGTGTTTAAATAATTACTAATTTTGTCTATAAGAAACTACATATATGATATAAACAGCAGAGCTGCGCTCCGTGGCTCAGCAGTAAAGCGCTGGATCTGCCAATACCAGGGCCACAGTTCGATCCCCACCAATCTTTCTGTTTATTGAATGGAGAGAGACTGTGCCCGTAGGGGTCATACAGCGCCTCTGATGGGAGGCCATTAAACTTGATCCGAGGAAAGGGAGGGGAGTTCCAGTTTTATGGATCAAGAGCCCTTCATCTGCAGCCTGGAGGAGCAGAACCACTGACCTAAATAAGTGGTCATCACGCTAACATATATTTTATTTCCTCTACAGTGTGTGGGGCTGGACTCCTGGTGTGACGTCATTCACTACCATCAACGAAGACAACAACAACAACAACAACAACAACAACAACAAACAACAACAGCTACATCAACATGAACAGTGGCAAGAGATTCGAAAACAAGTGATATAATCAGTTAATTTATATATATATATATATATATATATATATATATATATATATATATATATATATATATATATATATATATATATATATATATATATATATATATATATATAGTAAATACATTTATTTCTCAAAAATAATATAAAAAAATGTTGAACAGAAAAATATTTAATACTATTAATTTAAACTCCTTATCAGATAAAAAAAATACATAGAATTATTAAGCTTAGTATAATATTTTTTCGAAATATTCTGAGGATGCTGAATTTAAAAATTCTCTTTTTAGTAATAAGAAACAATAAAGAGATAGAAATTGAAGACAAGAATTAGAAAACGAGGAAGGGAGGACAATAAGCAGAGGACACGTTACTGAGGCTGAAGACTGACTATACATTGACCTGACGTAATAACTGATAACTGCCTCACCTTCTTCAGTTATTGTTATTGTTATATTTATCCCGAAAGCGTTAAATCCGTGTGACATTATTCAGCGTCGGAGGCCCCCTCCTCAGACATGGCTCCGCGCGTCCTGATCCTTGCTGTGACCCTGACTTCCGTCTCCAGGTAGGAATTCCAACTGTTTATATTGTGTTCGGATACTTGTCATCTTTATTTCTCTAATTTTTATTGCGTCTCTATTAAATTGAGAGAGAGAGAGAGTCTTCCACCATCGCCACAATTATTTTGAAGATCATTTTGACTAATTCTCTCTCTCTCTCTCTCTCTCTCTCTCTCTCTCTCTCTCTCTCTCTCTCTCTCTCTCTCTCTCTCTCTCTCTCTCTCTCTCTCTCTCTCTCTCTCTCTCTCTCTCTATCTCATGTATTACTCCAGCTTCACTTGATTGTATCAAGGAGCAATCCCGAGAGGTTGCTCCAGCCTCCCACACCTCCCTACTCAAGGTTCCTGCAGACTGACACAACTGACCATACCACGGGCGGGATTGAACCCGCGGTTCAATCCCGCCCGTGGTATGGTTTGTTTGCAATCGTGTCATTACGATTTCGTGAGTCACGTGACACAACTGTAATGTACTGGCAAAGTTGAGGTGAAAGACTGAAGTCATGAAGTGCTGTTATGTGATCTCAAGACCAGCTACTGGGGGAATAAGCCTCGCTAAAACTTCGGAGAGAAGGTGCTACGTAACTCCTACACTGCACCCAGTACAAACATGTACATTGTACTTCCCTATCCAACAAAACCAGCAACAACCTTTGTAGTACTTTAGGCCAAAGCAATATCATTGTCACCATCATTTCATCTAGAATCACAAAAGACCTAATCAAGAAACGGAAGGCAAGAGCGACCAGTGTCTGCGTATGTACCATACCATGCGGAGGTTGTGACAAGACTTACGTCGGTGAAACCTCCAGAGACCTTGACACCCTCTAGACACCTAGTCATCACAGTCAACATATTGACACATGCCAAAGAAAGACCACTAGCAACGCACGCACTCTACACAGAAACAATGAAAACTATCTTATGAACTTCCCAGAGGCAAGACGCGTCATCAAAGAAAGTGACCGTCGCAGCAGTAACGACCACAACCAATAACATTAATCAAAATTCAGGATCATTTGCGATCTCTGAAGTTATTGATACTGTGACTACTGGACGGAACATCTTCACTATAACATACCAAAACCCACATTTTCTCTTCTTGACATACATTCTTCCCTCCCTCACACACCTGCCTTCCTTCCCTCCCTCACACACCTGCCTTCCTTCCTCCCTCACACACCTGCCTTCCTTCCTTCCCTAAACACACCTGCCTTCCTTCCTCCCTCACACACCTGCCTTCCTTCCCTCCCTCACACACCTGCCTTCCTTCCTCCCTCACACACCTGCCTTCCTTCCTCCTCACACACCTGCCTTCTTTCCCTCCCTCACACACCTGCCTTCCTTCCCTCCCTCACACACCTGCCTTCCTTCCTTCCCTCACACACCTGCCTTCCTTCCCTCCCTCACACACCTGCCTTCCTTCCCTCCCTCACACACCTGCCTTCCTTCCTTCCCTCACACACCTGCCTTCCTTCCCTCCCTCACACACCTGCCTTCCTTCCCTCCCTCACACACCTGCCTTCCTTCCCTCACACACCTGCCTTCCTTCCCTCCCTCACACACCTGCCTTCCTTCCCTCCCTCACACACCTGCCTTCCTTCCCTCCCTCACACACCTCCTTCCTTCCCTCCCTCACACACTGCCTTCCTTCCCTCCTCACACACCTGCCTTCCTTCCTCCTCACACACCTGCCTTCCTTCCCTCCCTCACACACTGCCTTCCTTCTTCCCTCACACACCTGCCTTCCTTCCCTCCCTCACACACCTGCCTTCCTTCCTCCCTCACCACCTGCCTTCCTTCCTCCTCACACATCTGCCTTCCTTCCCTCCCTCACACACCTGCCTTCCTTCCTTCCCTCACACCTGCCTTCCTTCCTCCCTCACACACCTGCCTTCCTCCTTCCCTAACACACCTGCCTTCCTTCCTCCATCACACACCTGCCTTCCATTCCCTCCTCTTACACCTCCCTTCCTTCCTCCCTCACACACCTGCCTTCCTTCCCTCCTCAACACCTGCCTTCTTCCCTCCCTCATACACCTGCCTTCTTCCCTCCTCACACACTGCAGCTTCTTCCTTCCTAACACACCTGCCTTCCTTCCTTCCCTCACACACCTGCCTTCCTTCCTTCCCTAACACACCTGCCTTCCTTCCCTCCCTCACACACCTGCCTTCCCTCCCTCCTACACCTGCCTTCCCTCCATCATACACCTCATCTCTCACGTCCTGAAGTATTTTTACAGTAATGAAATTTCATAACTTCTTTTTTTCCGTGAGAGTGGCGGACAGTCGGTATTGATGGGCTTGTCTCACGCTTCACCAGTTGACAATAAAGCCAGCATAAGTTATCTAGCTTAATATCTCCCTCGCATCGTTACGGATGATCAATGGTCATTATGTAAGATCAATGGTCATTATTATGTAAGATCAATGGTCATTATTATGTAAGATCAATGGTCATTATTATGTAAGATCAATGGTCATTATTATGTAAGATCAATGGTCATTATTATGTAAGATCAATGGTCATTATTATGTAAGGTCAATGGTCATTATTATGTAAGATCAATGGTCATTATTATGTAAGATCAATGGTCATTATTATGTAAGATCAATGGTCATTATTATGTAAGATCAATGGTCATTATTATGTAAGATCAATGGTCATTATTATGTAAGATCAATGGTCATTATTATGTAAGATCAATGGTCATTATTATGTAAGATCGATGGTCATTATTATGTAAGATCAATGGTCATTATTATGTAAGATCAATGGTCATTATTATGTAAGATCAATGGTCATTATGTAAGATCAATGGTCATTATTATGTAAGATCAATGGTCATTATTATGTAAGATCAATGGTCATTTTATGTAAGTCGATGGTCATTATTATGTAAGATCGATGGTCATTATTATGTAAGATCAATGGTCATTATTATGTAAGATCGATGGTCATTATTATGTAAGATCGATGGTCATTATTATGTAAGATCGATGGTCATTATTATGTACGATCAATGACCACAGAAATGTGGGATCCCTGAACATTGTTAGGAAGGGTTAACGAACATTGTTAGGAAGGGTTAACGAACATTGTTAGGAAGGGTTAACGAACATTTTTAGGAAGGGTTAACGACATTTTTAGGAAGGGTTAACGAACATTGTTAGGAAGGGTTAACGAACATTGTTAGGAAGGGTTAACGAACATTGTTAGGAAGGGTTAACGAACATTGTTAGGAAGGGTTAACGAACATTGTTAGGAAGGGTTAACGAACATTGTTAGGAAGGGTTAACGAACATTGTTAGGAAGGGTTAACGAACATTGTTAGGAAGGGTTAACGAACATTGTTAGGAAGGGTTAACGAACATTGTTAGGTAGGGCTAATGAACAACTTGCCCACAAATCATTTTACTCCTTGTTCTTCCCCTCCTCCCACCCCCTCCCCACTCACACTACCCCAATACGCTCAGCCATCTTCCAGTTTTATTTGTGTTCGTGATAAAACGAACGTTGTAAGACGGCACCACTTGACCTGTGCTGCCAGACGTACGCCACAACTGTTTCTTCATTTCGTTATTGTTGGTTAATTGTATGTAAGTTTAAGTTTTGTTATACAGATGGTTTATATCACCGACATGACACTTGTGGATCTTGACTGTGGCGACGTTCCGCCCACCAGTGGCTTTACGCCAGTATGAGGTGATCAGTCCCTCAGCCACACACACACACACACACACACACATGGAACAGGGAGAGAGAGTGGACCTAGTAGCGACGAGCGAAGAGGCGGGGCTAGGAGCTGTGAATCGACCCCTGCAAATACAATTAGGTGAGTACACCAAAAACAACACACACCACACACAAAACAACCACACACACAACAACAAAACAAACAACACCACCACAAAACCCCAAACACACAACACACACACCAACCCCACCACACACCACAAAAACCACACCACAAACACACAAAAACCACACACACACAAAACACCCCCTTCTTGCCCCAATTCATTCCCGTTTTCGAAAAATTTTAAATGGATTTGCAGTCCTGTCGCACCTATTCCCCAGCACTCCCCTAAAATTCTTTTTTTTTAAAACACTTATGTTTTTTCTCTTTTCTCTCTTCTGTTTTTACGCCCACGGAAAAATTAAACTAATCTGTCTTTTTATAAGGGTGTTTACAAATCAGGCTAAGGTTGTGTTTTCCCATTTATTCAATTCGTTCTAAATTCTTTATTTATTTTTTTTATTATTTATATAAAAAACAGGAACGGGGTGATGTTGGGGCAATGCGAGCAGGATTTTTTTTTGTTAACTGACTTTGTTTTTTATTGTTGGTTTCTGTGTGAGCATGTTAGACACCCCAGTCATCTTTGGGGAAAAAAAAAAAAAAATTATGGGGGTATGTGAATTTCTTTTAAAGGATCCCAACAGAGACAGTTGTGTTTGTGCTCTAAATTCCCGGGAGTGTTAAAAGCCCCTAGAACTTGTCCCTAAAATGTATGCGGAAAAGATTTCATATTAACCGGAAGATACTTGAAGGATTGGCCCCAAACCCAGAGCACTGAAATCGCTACAGCTGGGCCCGTATGCCTTGTACATGCTTGAAGTAAGAAGAATTTTATTATATTATTTTTAAAGGGGTGGCAGACGGTAAAAGGATTTCCGAAAAAAATGGGGGAATAAGAGTCAGGGAAAACTCATAAGTGTAAAAGGCCCCTGCCCCCTTTAAAACCCTCGTGCGTAAGGGGTGTGTAAATTCCCTAGGTCTTCAAGAGAGAACTCACAAATTCTCAGAAAAATTTCCCGGGTAGTTTTAGTGGTCATACTTTGGATGCGGGCGGGGAGCATAAGAGCCCGACGTTTTAGGAACAACCAGGGGGGCCTGGTCTGGGACGGGTTGCCGGGCGGTGCCACAGGAAGCACGAGGTATCCCCCAAAGGGATACCGCAAAATGGAGGCAAGTTGAAAACTTGACAAGATTGGCCTTGCACTGGAGCGTTTTCAAATTTGATTTCCCCTTATTTTTTGAAGAAAAATTAAAACCCCTTTGGGGTTTTTTAAGGGGGGGAGGATCGAGCCCCCAGCACCCTTCCCCGGCTGAAGACCCAACCTCAAAATTTGTTTTCACGTAAATATGTTGAAATCTAATTTAGTGCAGTTATGTGTGAGATTTCTCAGCGTGCCTTATGGAACTGTGCATGTGTACTCCCCAGTTGTGGTTGCGGGGGTCGTTCAAGCTCCCGGCCCCCCTCTTCATGGTGCTTGGGCCCCTTCCCTGCCCATTAGCTTTTGTACTCGTTTAAAATATGAATGGATCCGCCCGAACATCGCTTTCCCAAAAAATTCCACTTCCTGAAACCTGTGACTGAAAGAAATATTCCTAACATCCTGTGATTTTATTGTGTTTCAAATTCCAACGTGTCCCCTTGTTTTTTGTGTCCCATCTCCGGAGCATTTGTCTTTTACCCTTTTCAATTCCTCTCGATTTTATAGGGTTATCTGTCCCCCTTTCTCCTGTCCCCAGTGTGTCAGGGGCGATTTCCTTAACCCCTTTCCCCGTTTGGACTATCCCCAGTCTGGGAAGTCTTGTGAAATCTTTGCATTTTCTCCAGTTTCTTTACGTGTGTGTGTGTGTGTGTGTGTCCTCACCTAATTGTACTCACCTGATTGTGGTTGCAGGGGTCGATTCTCAGCTCCTGGATCTGCCTCTTCACTGAGTGCTACTAGGTCCTCTCTCTCCTTGCTCCATGAGCTTTATCGTGCCTCATATTAAAGCTATGTATGGTTCCTGCCTCCACTACCTCACTTGCTATGTTATTCCACTTCCTGACTGCTCTGTGACTGAAGAAATAATTCCTAACATCCCTTTGACTCATCTGGGTCTTCAACTTCCAATTGTGACCCCTTGTTTCTGTGTCCCATCTCTGGAACATCCTGTGTCTGTCCACCTTGTCTATTCCACGCAGTATTTTGTATGTTGTTATCATGTCTCCCCTAACCCTCCTGTCCTCTAGTACCGTCAGTCCGATTTCCCTTAACCTTTCTTCATAGGACATTTCCCTTAGCTCTGGAGCTAGTCTTGTCGCAAATCTTTGCACTTTCTCTAATTTTTTGACGTGCTTGATCAAGCGTGGGTTCCAAACAGGTGCTGTACTCACCTATTTGTACTCACCTATTTGTGGTTGCAGGGGTCGAGTCCCAGCTCCTGGCCCCGCCTCTTCACCAGTTGCTACTAGGCCCTCTCTCTCCCCGCTCCATGAGCTTTATCAAACCTCGTCTTAAAACTGTGTATGGTTCCTGCCTCCACTACGTCATTTTCTAGGCTATTCCACTGCCTTACAACTCTATGACTGAAGAAATACTTCCTACTATCTCTCTGACTCATTTGTGTCTTCAACTTCCAATTGTGGCCTCTTGTTTCTGTGTCCCCTCCCTGGAACATCCTGTCCTTGTCCACCTTGTCTATTCCACGCAGTATTTTATATGTCGTTATCATGTCTCCCCTGACCCTCCTGTCCTCCAGTGTCGTCAGGCCGATTTCCCTTAATCTTTCTTCATAGGACACATTGCTGTGTGTGTGTGTGTGTGTGTGTGTGTGTGTGTGTGTGTGTGTGTGTGTGTGTGTGTGTGTGTGTGTGTGGTGTTTGTGTGTGCAAGCTTGTGATCTTCCTCATGTGTTGCAGGAGCGTGGGCGGCGGCGTGGGCGTGAGTCCAGAACTACGCAAAGTAGACCATCTCCTCAACCCCGCCCGCTATGACAGGCGTCAGACTCCAGTCCCTCACACAGGTACCAACACCATATACACACTTTCCAACACTTATTATAACAAGTCGAACACGTTTATGCAGCTTCGAGCAATGTTTATGTAAATTCGAACACTGTTTTTGTAGATTCGAACACTGTTTATGTAGATTCGAACACTGTTTATGTAGATTCAAACACTGTTTATGTAGATTCGAACACTGTTTATGTAGATTCGAACACTGTTTATGTAGATTCAAACTGTTTATGTGGATTCGAACACTGTTTATGTAGATTCGAACACTGTTTATGTAGATTCGAACACTGTTTATGTAGATTCAAACACTGTTTACGTATATTCGAACACTGTTTATGCAGTTATTTTTTAGAGTACAATTTCCTGTCGCCTGCACGAGTGTTATTAACTTTGCAGTCCACTAAGAGGCTGAGATATTACATTAAAATCAACTTTTATCACCAGGAAAATTATTCAGGTTAACTCTCAGTTTATATACACTGAGTAACAAGCATCTTTGCGTATATGTACTCTGAGAGATACGCACGCACATACGCGCAAACACACACACACACACACACACACTAATGTTTACGTTAATTAACAGGGAAAAACAGTAAGTTGAAACTCTTCTCAGGAGGACAAGTGAAGACTGGAAGGCACAGCAACTGTCCACGGTGTTTTTAGCTGATGGTGATGGTGGTGGTGGTTGGTGGTCGTAGTTGGTAGTGGTTGTAGATGGTCGTGGTGGTGGTGGTAGTGATGATGAAAATGATGATGAAGTAATATAAACAGAGACTCACTTATACACATCAGAGTTTATGAAAAAGTTTGTAAGTGCAGATGAGAGTCCTCCACAAATGTAGAGAACCACACACAACTGTGTGCCCCCATATTCCACTTCAGTT